CCGGCCGCGCCGGGCTCTCCGTTCACCTCAGGAGCGGCGGGAGGGTCTGGTCCGCGCTCATGCGGAATCGCGCCCTGAAGCAGCGCATCCCGCGTAGCAAATAATGTGAGAGGGTAACGGCGTGAATCCGTACCGACGTGCCCTGAACCTGGGGCCGAATGAGCCGTGAGGCTGAGGGCTTGCGAGTGAAACTTGGTTTTTTTTTTTCCCCTGCTTTTCCCTTGGAGCAGCGCTCAGCTGTGCGTGCTCTCCACCAGACCGTTTAAAACCGCACGTTTGCCACGCCGCACGCCACCCGTGTCCTTAGCAAATAACTACAGAGCCGTTATTTGGGTAGTCTGGAGGTAATTTGGGAGCCACGGTTCCCCAAGTTAGACTTTTAAATCTGTATGTGGGCATGCCTGTATAAGTGGCCTGGTTTTCAAGGTGCACCTGCAGCTCCCAGTGACTCCCGATCGCTCAGGGGGCACCTGGATGTGATGTGTGGCTTTAAAAGCCTAACTTTGGACTTGGAGTATGTATTTCATGTACGCGCTCTGTCAGAATTATGTGCTCAGGCTCAGCCTGCTCCTGTTCCTTCCTTCCTGAGATGTGCAGTATGCAAATGTAACTTACTGCCACTGTTTCTCCTCAAAATTCATTCTGAAATGCCTTTTCCCTGTGGTTTTTTTTCCATCCTAGGTGGACTTTTCATGAGGAACACTGTTCAGGAGCACAGTGCATTTCGATTCGCTGTGCAGTTATACAACACAAACCAAAATACCACAGAAAAGCCCTTCCATTTGAACTATCATGTAGATCACTTGGACTCTTCCAACAGTTTTTCAGTGACAAATGCTTGTAAGTAAATAGATGTTTGGTTTTTTTATTAAATATTTATTTGTTATCTTTCCTTACATTCAATTTCTCCCTGGTAGCCTAGAGTTCTTGTTCATACAATATAGTGCAACAAATGTGTGTACTGACATGACGTTTAGTAGATTTGCAGCATTATATGGTTGAATAATACCTTAGGGAAAGTTCTCTCACCACTTCTTTTCACCCCTTTAGTTTTGTTTGCCAGAAAAACAACCGTGTTATTTATATAGCAGTGCTGTGTAGCTGTTATCAGTGAATTGCCGCTGAAGTAACATCCCTTTTCTGTTGAGGCTACAACCTAGCCGTGTGAAACAGCATAATTTGCAAATAATACCATGTAGGAATAACACAGGAACAGCTGATTACGAGTGACCTTGAGGGGACAAAGCTAGAGGGGCTTACTTGCCTCCTCTGCCCTGAAATACTGGGTTGTTTTCTTACAGTGAAAGTCCTGTTAAAAGCTGAGGAGACTGTAAACTGACAAATACCGTTAGAGCTGAGGGGAGAGAAAATGGAATCAGAGCGCTTAGCGTTATGAGAAATAGCTCTGCACAAGCAGTGGTTACGTATAATTTGAGCCTTTATTAACAGAAGAAGCAAAATAGAACTTTGAGTAGTGTTAATGTGGTGTTAAAATGCGAAATCTCTTTCTGAAAGACTGGTGCGTGTTCTGCATTTAAAAAAGCATTCCTTTACCAGTAGTAGTTCCTGAATGTTTGTTTTACTGATGTGTCCAAATTCAGTTTTATACAGTTTTTATTGTAAACCTTTGAAAATGAATGGAGTCTTCTTGCAAGGCAGTTGCGTGCACTTTGCAGTATACAGAAATATGTCTGTACATGATCTAAAGGACCTCTGAATGCAATGTGCTAACTTGGTGTTATGAACAGGATTCCTGTTCATATACTCCCAGTATAAAATGCTCAAAGAGGAAGGATTGTACTAAAATAATGAAGTACTGGGGTACAGAAAACTAGTATCTCTTGCTTTAAAACAATTTAATGTTTTGAGTATCTTATTTCTTTAATTTTTTGTTTGCTGGGGATAGGATAGTTCTTATATTCCTGTCCCACACTGTATAATCAGAAGGCTGGACAAGTAGATATTTTATTCTTCTAGCATTTCAGGAATTTTCTAAGTTGATGGTTAGAAAATATACAATAAGGAAATATTTGGACAAATTTGGGATTAATATTCTAACGTATCCCCCATGTGACTGCTTCTTGCTAGTGCAGCGTTACACTTTTTAAAGGGCTTTGAATTAGGACCTTTAAAACTTTTGGGGGGGGGTAATTATATAATATCCAATAAAAATATTTGGTAAAGTGGAAAAAATGGTAAATAAAAGCATGTCTGTACTTTGCATCTTATTTTACTAATCCTATCCAGCCTCAACAGCTCTTACAACAAACATCAGACTATTAGTCCTTAATCAGTGTAATCCCTTCAAGAGGCTGTATCTCAAACATACTTTCCTAAATATCAATTATATAGATTTAAACTAAATACATTAAACTGCTTGGGTGATTAATTATTAATTGTCTTTTAAAAGTTCTACCGGCACTTCTTTACTGATCCCACCAACACAAGTGAACCACGTGCTTGTTCAGAGACAGTCAATGTATTATTTAGTCAGGGTGCTTCTCATCTTCTGACAATTAATGATTTTTGCCATTGGTTAGTGAAAGCTGTGGCGATTTTAGTAAAATGAGATGGTTTTCTGTAGTATAGGGCTGCGTGTTCCAACACGCATATTACCAGTGTAGTAAAATTGGGAAAACTTAAATCTCTGGAGAAACCACAGACCAGAGAATACCAACCTACAGTAACCTATTTAAAAATAGAAGATGTGAAAAAAGAAACAGAAGAAAGAAAATGAAAAGGTGACCTTGTCCATAGCTATGTCAACCATCTTGTAATACTGTTGGTAGGAAAAGAATATGGTGAGTCCAAGTCACCAGTCATATAGGTCTCAGTAGCTCAAAATAAAAATAAATAAAAAAAAAAAGAACAACAGTTGCTCTTTTTGGATCTGCAAGCAATTATCTTTGAAAGTCAGATGCTCATACATATCGATGCATTAAGATTAACTTATAGCTTCTCACACTACCTGGCTAACATGTAAAACATGCTGGCCTAAGTACCCTTAATCGCATCCTCACTTCCCAGTGGAGTGGCAGATAATTTCATGGTGCTGCCGTATCCATGAAGGAATTCTTTCCACAACATTTTTACTTCTCTTGGAGATAAGCATAAATTGTATCCAGTGCTGTCACACAGCCGTTTGATCAATATTTGCAATTGGCAGGGATCCATAGGAGAGAAACCTGCAGTGACTCTGACTGCCTTCACTGGAGAGGGAGACTGTGACTGTCTTTGTGGTGGGATAGGTAAAGGAACTGAAGGGAAATTGAAGAAAGTAGCATGTGTAGCTTCAGCCTAGTGCCTGTACTAGTCAGTATCCATGAAATAATACTTTTCATTCTCCTTTGCTTTGATTTATATGATAGTGGCTGTAGTAAGTGTTCATGTGTGCAGAAATTGATGGGGGCTCTGCTCAGGAAAGACTTATGTTCTTAGTGTACAGCTGCACATCCCACTTGGTGCAATCTGGTGCATTCCAGTGGCAGGAGAAAAAAATCTCTTCTGAAGTATCCTCATGAGCCAGAGATAAAAAGCCCACCTCTGGTAGGGCTGATTTGGCAATATCCCAACATAGGAACAAACTTGTTTAGAAGCAAAAGAAAATTCCTGCCCTAAGCCCCTCCCTCTCATTCCTTTTTCAGTTAAATGATGCATAATCTGATTCACGTACATGTATTTCCTGCTTCACTGCTAGCACCGAGCCCCGCTCTGTATAGTTAATTTACACGCACGCATACAGTATTCATCCACTCTGTATTTATCTGCCTGCCTATTTATTTAGCTGTATGATATCTTAACAGAGAGCAAGTGCAAACACAGGTGAAAATTCCAGTGTATTTAAAGGTGAATTGAAGTTTATCAGTTGGCTCGGGGGGGGGGGGGGGGGGGGTGATTTATTTCATCTTTTAAAATATGCAGCTTTTTGCCATCAGAAAAAGCAGAAAGGAAGAAAGTTAACTTGACCTGTGAATGAATAAAATCAAGTAAAACATGGACATTATATTTTCTTCAAAAATGCTCAAATAGGGAGTGAGCTGACTTTTTCAGAATAATATGAATATAACAACTCAAATGTATAAATTCATCACTGAAGTGTCTTTCATGCTTTTCTTATAATCTCCGATGAAGGATGTTAGTATTACTGTTGAATTATGCGTACAGTTCTGTAGATCATATTCCCTAGAAATAACCCGCGTATGTCTCTCTGCTCTGCACTTGTAGTGCACTATACTAACACTGCTCTAGCCTCTGCAGTGTCAGCTCATTAGCACACAGATCTCATATTCCCTCTCTGCACTGTCATTGCAAAAAATTGCTGTGGTACACCTTTACAGCCAACAAATGTGCACTTGCGTTACGTACAATTTTCAAGAAATATTTAGAAAAGTAAGCTCAACCTTATACGTAGTCCCCATGGAATTTCTCAAAAGAAGCATTAGTTTTCGTTAAAATCTGTTGATCGTGTAATGATAGTGGTGGGATGTGTATGGGTGAAAAGGGGCTGTGATTGCAGAATCTAATTAATCTACAGGCAGATTCCCTCTCTCAGCTAAACCTAACCTATCAGCTGCAAATTCTTGTCCTGTTAATTTTTCTGAGTCATTTCTCATATATCTTCTGAACCCAGGAGGCTTTTTATATTTTACCAGATGTTGACATGTAGTGTTTTTTCCACAGGCACTTGTTCTTTAAGAGACCAAAAAAAGAGGGAAGATACAATGACATGCTTACCTTAAGTTGCTAAAATCCTGTAAGTGATTGTATGGACACTTTGTTGCTGGGGTCTGATTTCAGACTTTCTTAGAAAATTTTTCTTTAGTGTCCTTGAGTTCTTGTGTTTAATCTTTAAAATTCAACTTGGAAGGTTTTAATGGAAAAAGTGCCTATTCGTTGTTACAACATTGCAGAAAATGATACCACAGGGTTAGTAGTAGACAATTTTTCCAGTTTAAATGTATTACTCCCTTTCCTAAAGCACAGGTGCGCATATATGTATATGCTCACATGCATACTCACTCACACACGTGCACACATGCACACACACACTTTTTCCTTAGGTGCTGCTCAGCATTTCTTTTTGCCAGTGGGCAGATAATTTGCTTCCCTTCCATCTGTGTACTCTTTGGCCAGCTGGCAAAAGACACTGATGCTGAAAGTGGTCAGCTTCCTTCTGCCAAAAGCATAAGCATGTCTCACTGAAAGTCTTGCCAAGTTTGGGCCGTGTACTGGTGGTTTTGCATGAGAGACCACAGGGTAGGTGCCTCAGTCTCCCGATAAGGAATGCACTGTGGTTTCTCGCGGCATTCTGTGGTAAAACACCTGGAAATGTGCTTTCTACACAACTGTTCATTACAGATCCCTGAAAATACCTTTTACGCTGTAGAACGTGCTCGAGTATTGTATGTTACTGCTGTGTGACAAAGAAAATCAGCTGGCTTTAGTTTCGGGGTCAAAGCTTTTGCAATATTAGGGTAGGTCGAAAGGTGAAGGGAGTGTTCCAACTAAAGTTTGTTTCCACTTTGTGGCAGAGCAGATGATTTGTCATTAAGCTGAATGGGATCTCAGTGTTAGCAGAAGGAACCATGCTGCTTTCAAGTATGTTTTTTATTTCTTAAATTAATTTTAAAATAAGCTGACTCTCTCCTCCTTCGCTACATACATAGTGTTTACACACTGTTTAGATGTTAGGGTTCCATTTAACTCAGGCTGTAGAGATGAAAAAAAAATCTCATATGAATGGACGCTTCCTTGAGAAACTCTGAATTCACCAAATGAATGAAGAGTAAAGCGCAATGAAGAGCGCCATTTACTTGTTCAGTTTCGGCAAGATTTTGTGC